ATCTACGTATAAATATTTGTTTGAACTGATTTCTTGAAGACAGACCTTTTTTAAATGTACAGTATTTTTCTTTTTAATTTTTTATTTTCCTTTTTGCATTATTGTTGATATTGTTTGTTGTTTTTCTAACACCTGAAGCCCAACTACGTTTTTTGTTTATTAGTTAAATATTGTAAGTATATCATTAGTACTTTATTGTTTTGAAATTCGAGGTTGAAAAAAATTAAACTATATTTTTAGGGTTCCGATTGATGCTTGCCTGCAGAATAAGGTAATGTATAGCTGACGGAATCTTGATCTGGGACTTGGATTGTTAACCTAGAGGTTTGAAAAGCATCATACATTTTCGAGTGTATATTTATGATATTTGCAAAATTGAGTTTTTCTCCTGTTTAAAGTCTATTTGTTCTAAAGAAAGAGTAAGATGTAGTGATTGGACCCTCAAAAAAAACACTACCCGGGTCATCCACAGGTGGACCCGGGTGGGTTAAAAAAAAGCAACCCATCGGGTGGACTCATAAGCCACCTGGGTGAAAATAGGTATTTCTTGTTATTATGCATACTTGTATATACAAATATATTTCTAAGTAATAGTTATATCTTTGGTATGTAGTTTGTTTTAAAAGTCCCTAGCATTAGTAATTTTTTTTGGATGGGTAGAGAATTCATTGTTTTATTATACTTTATATATAAAAAATATAAAGTAATTCTTGAATGACCTTTATCAATGGTATGTTTTTGAAGTTTGTATCTTATTAAAATAGTAAGGGGGCTTTTAGAAATTATGTGATTTTGGGGTGGGTAGGTGGGTTTCCAAAATATCAGGTTATAATTTTGGTCAAAATTTTATAATTCTAAAATTATATAATAATAAAATATTTAAATTTGAATAATTTTTGATCTACTAGACCAATTTAAATGATTTAACTATCAAAATGATTCTTTTAATGAGAAGCTTTTAACAAGTCCAAAATCATTAAAATTCAATTACTAGACCACAAAATAGATAATATTTTGTGTTATTTTATATATATTTAAATAATACAAAAAATTATCTATTTTGTGATCCTATAAGTGGATTTTAATAATTTTGGCCTTGTTGGAATCTTCTCTTTGAGAGAATCATTTTGGTAGCTAAATCATCCAAATTGGTTTAATAGATTAAAAGTTATATAAATTTTAAAATTTTTATTAATTAATACTATATAAAATTTTATGCAATTTGATTGGTTAATAAAATATCAGGTGTAAGTGGGTGAGAATAAATTTTGAAATTTATTAATACCAAAATATTATGTAATTTCTGGAAGCTCTCTAATATTTAAAAATTTACTTCTGATTTATTGAGTGGATGTTTGAAAACACCTTTAGTTTATTTTGAAAAGTTTTTTTTAATTGAAGTTTAGTAAAGTCTTGCAATTGCAGGTGACCTATCTGGATGGCCAAAACTCGACCCATGGGTGACCTGGTTAGCATCTACCCAGGTCCAATCACTAGTAAAATGTTTTTTGATATGGTATAAAGATTGAAAATTATTTATAAAAAAGTAAGTTTATTTCTATTAATTGACTACCTTTCAGATAGAACCAAATCCATTATTCAATCAAAAATCAACACAAATAACTTTTGATGTCCTGGTTTTCTATGTGGCTTGTGCTGTAGGGGTTTCTTGGTCTCTTATACCTAAATAGATACGACTGTGGATATGACATCCTTTTTAAATTTTGTACTATTCTATTTCCAAGTTCCTTAATGGAGTATAGCTTCATTTCCTTATTTCCAAGGTTTTAAGGCTGTCATGTAAAAACTATTTGAGGTTTTGGCATGCTATTTGGTGTCATATAAAACTTTTTTTTTTTTAAGACCCTAAGTTAGTTAGATTCTTGGTTTTAAGCCTAAAACTGCTGGTTTGATTCCAACAAGGGCAATATTATTTTTTTAGGCCCTAATTCTTAGTCTTTATGGTCTTGATTTTGGTTGTCCAATTAATAATAATTAATTTTTATGATCTCTTTTTCTTAGGCTCAGTAATTTTACTCATCAATATTCGGTATTGAAACAATTTAATACAGTCAAACCTCTTTTATATCCCCTCTTAATAAAACCTTAATTATTATATCCCATATAAAATTCAAAAAAATAATCTTTTTAATATGTTTTATATATTTAGTTATATCCCACCTTGGTTAAAAATTAAAACCAGATATAAAAAAAGGGGGATATAAAAGAGATTTGACTGTAATCAGTTATTTATTAATAACAACCTTAAATTTCAATGTGAACATATATGATTCTACGCCAAATGCCAATGAATGTATTGTATCGTTGTTTAATTAATTACTTTTTATGCTTTGTAAAATCGAAAAGGAATGTAAACTATATTGTTATTATCTTACAAGGGACCACAGTAAAACTTCACTCTGATCTGTACATTAATGCAGGGGCACCCGTTGACAGTAAAGTCCTCCACTCCGCTCCAGACAATAAAAATAAAGAATTAGTAACTGATAAAATAATTAGCTTTTAAAAAAACAAGTTTGTTTGATAAGTGATCCGATACGTCCCTTACTTTCTGTCAAAGTATTAACACATTGAAATTTTTCGATTTGGGTCGTCAATCAAAATATTGCTTAATTGTAACATGTTATAACTAGAACTGATCCGATGAATAGTATATTCGAATATTCAATGAATATTCGAATATATAATTGTTACACTGAATTGAATATTCAATGAATATATGATTGGGTGTCATATGTCATGCTTAAATACTGATTGGTTAGCAATGCTAGCCCAAAGTAGATGAACAAGATAAATCCTATCGATTTATTTTGTAAGTATAAAATTCATTTGCTGGCTTGTGTATTTAAACCCTCAATTATTCAACTTAATATTTTCTTACTGTAATTCATTATTGTTCCGAATCAACAACTCTATTTCATGATGTTCAATATTCAATGAATATTCATTTGATGAATATTCGGATATTAAAAAGATTGAACAAATGAATATTCGAATACTTATTTTTTGACCAGAAAAGACCTCTAGTTATAACAACAGTATAATAAATTATGTCGGACATTAACAGATAATTACAGTAATCAATAACACTCCCTGTTACGATTACCGTAAACTGCTGGATACAAGAGCCGGATCTGTTACATTTCATCAAATTTCAAGCCCTACACGGTAATTAGACCCGCGGGTCTCTTGTATGGGTGTGAGTTAACGTTGCAAACTTAATTAAATTAAATGCTAAAATAATTTATTTTACAAAAATAGTATTGTATGATCAATTTAAGCTATCACTATCCATGATAAAAATCAAATTTACTTTATTATACTGAAACATCTTTCGAACTTGTTCTTATTAATATGGTCGATGAACTGCCTTCTACAAACACAGGTTGATTCAATGAATATTGGGTACATACCGGGAGACAAGTTTCCTGATATGTACCCGATAGCCTGCCATAGATCCGCCAAAATACCTGCTGTATATCAGCAGCATATTGGTAAAGATATCGGGAGGTAGATCAGATACCTGATATCTTGCTCCAAGGCCCAGAATGCTAAGAGTAAAATATCAGGATATCCCAATATTGTGCTGTTATGTTACCGATATCGATCTACCTCCCGATATCTTACCAATATGCTGCCAATATGCTGCTGATTGGTATTCATAGATTCAACATGTGAAATTTATCTTTAAACATGTCAAACCAACTATCTCAAAATGATACGTGTTTAGAAAATCAAAATAGAACACTAAAATGAAAAATGCAGGTCTTCCAAAAGAACAATTTGGGATACTGTATAACAAATAGTTTTACTAATGACTAGTGAATAATTATTGATTATTATTAATCCTATCACTACTAATGGCTGTAGTCCATTATTTGGGTGTCCTGCAGAAATGGAAGCTCATCTTATAAATGATTGTTGTAATACTTTTTATTGTACGTATGTACGTAGTTAAATAACTTGTACATATCTGATATACTATTATCGGCCTTTAAATAATGCAAAATTAAATATACAAAAATATAATTAAATTTGATTTTTTTGCTTTTATAATAATTGTCGATGCTGATGCTGAAATTTAGGGTCCCATTTAAATCTATAATATATACCTACTAAAATTCACATATACTTTTTTACTAACAATACTAACCCTAAAAAAACCCCCTAACAGAAGACCCCCAAATTTTTAAAATTTCATCAGTGTTCCGAATCGAGCCGGCTCAATTAGGCTCGTCGAAATTTTCGATTTTGGCTTGAAAGCAGGGTTGAAAATACCATAGTAATTTGCCGGCCATCCAAAAAGTATTATTATTGATCTATGGTATATTTATAATATATTTTTATTCGATAGTGATGTATCAAAAAAGATACTTCAAACAATAAGCATCGACGCAGTAAATGGCCGGCAAATCACTATAGTATTTTCAACCCTGCTTGAAAGGCTTGCGAGCCGGTAGTACAAATTACATAATACAATTTCCACTATTAATTTACATCATATGATACTTTCTTCTATCTCCGCTATTAATCACAGAAAGTATCGTATGATATAAATTAATAGTGGAAATCGTAAGCCTTTCAAGCCAAAATCGAGCCAACCCCAAATTCCAAACGAGCTTAATTGAGCTGGCTCGATTCGGAACACTGAATTTCATAATAAAATAAGTCAAAATTTCAGCATCAGCCGCGACAATAATAATTTAATTAAGTTTGCAACGCTAGTATGGGTCTGGGTTTATCTGTTTATATACTCTAGGTCTTTACATTTTACCAAAACTTTATCCAAGTTATAACACCGGGGATCTAAATCTTGTTAGCCAATTAAAATTCTTGCCGAAAATGCTGGCCAATGTTAATTGAACATCCCCCTCGCTGCACAACGCTGCGTATTGCAGTACTATTGCAGTATTGTTTTGTTATTTAACACTATATATATCGATATAACACCACAAAAACTTTAATTCACTCAAACGAAAATGAACTCCGCCTCTTCCACATTTAGGATTCCCAAGCGACAAATACTTACCAAAGACGATTTAGACAAATTTCAAGAATCGCAAGCATATGAAGAATATACTTCTTTTATTATGCGGTTAAATGATTCAGTCAAGGGTTTAAAACTGACAACTGAATGTATTGTTTCTTCGGTAACTTTTTTCGCGACTTGCTTTTTACATGACGTAATTATACTATAATATGACCTTTTAATTTTGTTGATTTTTTTACGAATTAGGCTTTAGTAAATATACTGGAAATCTTGGACACCGTAAATACTTATTGTACAGAAATTCCTCCAGTAAATAACGAAAAGAGTCGTTTTGGAAACCCTGCATTTAGAGATTTCTATGATCGGGTTACAAGTGTAAATGTCATTATTTATTATTATCCTAATCATTTGTGTTTCGACTTTACATATTTAACATTTATCACTTGTAGACTGCCTTTGAACTTCATGAAAATCTATCACTTCCTCCAGCTGCAATACCTGAAGTATCAAAGTATTTTGTTGAATCTTGGGGAAATCGAAAAAGAATAGACTATGGCACTGGTCATGAGGCAAATTTCATAGCATGGTTGTGAGTAGGATCATAATATATCATCATAACATGACATAAAACTGTCAATCCATTGCTAATTTTATCTTTTTTTTTTATAGGCTCTGTCTTGAAAAATTGGGATTGATATGTCCTGACGATTATACTGCAGTTGTGCTTAGAGTTTTTCAAAAGTGAATCATTTAGTATAGTTTATGACATCTCTCTTTCATTTGTCAGTAATTTAATTATTAAATTAATTTCTAATTAATTTAATAGATATATTGATGTAATGCGGAGCCTTCAATTTAAATACTGGCTTGAACCAGCTGGATCACATGGTGTATGGGGTCTGGACGATTATCATTTCCTACCTTTTTTATTTGGTTCCTCTCAATTAATTGGTATGATGATATTAGATGGCGTTCCTTTAGTTATATTTTCGTAACATCTAATCTAAAGCATATACCTTCTAGGTCATAAATATATTCGCCCAAAATCGATTCATGATAAAGATATTGTAGATGAATTTTCAAAAGATTATATGTATTTAGCCTGTATAAAATTTATTAATTCTGTACGTTAAAGTCTTTTATTGTCTTTAAAATATTGTTGTAGCAATACTTGTGTCATTAATTTTTTTGGTTCACTTATTTTAGGTTAAAACCGCATCTTTACGTTGGAATTCGCCAATGTTGGATGATATTTCTGGCAAGTATTTAATTTATTTATTAGTTTTACTGATTACTGATTACTAATTATTGTTCATTATAGGCGTTCGTGAATGGAAGAAAGTTAACGAGGGAATGCTTAAAATGTACAAAGGCGAAGTCCTTGCAAAATTACCCATCATGCAACACTTCATGTTTGGATCTCTGATAAATTTTGAAGGTAGCTCACCATCATTACTTGAAGGAAATGGCGATGACAATGAAGATGAAAATGGCCATGTACATGTTCATGCTTTTGGGCAAGAGTTCCCAGATTGTTGTGGCATCAAGATTCCGAGTGCTATGGGAGCAAAACAAATGAGTATTAGGGAAGGGACTATAAAAAGATTACCATTTGATTAGCACAATTTTTCGATTATTGTAATTTAATAATCTTGTTGAGTTTTTGATTTTGGTGTGTTATATGGATATTAATACATATGAAAGTGATTATTTGTATAGTTTATTGTCTTAACTTGCAATGAGCTACATGGTTTTGTAAATAATAAAGATTCTGGTTTATATAAAATGTTAATTATCTAGCTAATTTAAAAAAAAAAAAATACTTCAGAAGAAACAATTTAATATCATAATAAAGAATGAGATTAATTTTAATTCAAGACCTTATTACTCATTTAGTTAATAATAATAATAATGATAAAAAAATAATAACTAGTTATAATAATGTATTTTTTGTATGTACAAAATTGATAAAGTACAATAAAAAGAGTGGAAAAATGTCTGTTCATGGGATGAAATTGTCTGATCAGTGATTTTAATCAAGTCTGTTATATCCAGCACGTCTTCGGTAAATAATCCAGTGATGCCAGGCATAACTAATTAACGTGATTATAATTAAAGATGCTAATATTCCTAGAACAACACCAAAGAACACTCGTCCAATATGTGGAAAAGTACGTTCTGGCATTAATACTTTATCAACTTCGTATACCGCACCGCCATTCCAAGCTCTACCCATGCCAAGTATTTTGGCCTTATCTTCAAAGAAGCCACCTTTGACTTCTATTCTGTAGCCACCGTATATGATATCTTTTCTTACAACTAATTTCGCATCATCGGATAACATAGTATTAAGTTCTTTACCTTCCCTCAGATTGTCAACGCTGTTCGGTATAACATGTAATCTGATTAAACGAGACACTCTATCTGGATCATTCATTAATTTCGTAATATTAATTTTCCTAAACGCATCATTAGTTGGTGAAAAAATCGTGAATGGTTCGATTGGATCATTAAGAATTTCTGATAGATTTGAAATCTTGAAAATTTCCAACATGCTAGTAGCACCAATCCCGTTAAGAATCTTGCCCACTGTGACATGTAATGTTGGTGGTAATTGTACGGCATCAACTACATGCATAACACCTGTTGAAGTAAGAATATCTCTCTGAATAATTTCTGCAGTACCATTTTCGATCTTAACTTTAATATGATCTTTTTCATCACGCGTAATGCTCAGCGAAGAACCATCAATGGCAGTATACTGCGATTCTCCTTGAGGAATATCTTCGGTATACACAGTATCATTTAGCATATGATATCCGACAACTTCACGCAAATCATCTTTGCCATAAGGGCTCAAAAAATAGGGGATGAGAAGGTCAAGATTGTTAAAAGCGAGATTAGTTGGTGCAAACACTGTAACACCTTTGCTTAATTGAACGGTTGATGTCATTCCACTTGCTTCAATAGCTGAAACAAAGTTACTAAGCTGCTTATTATGCATAGCACAGCTTATAATATCAGTAGGAGGTCTCAGAGTTTTAGATATCAAATAAATTACGGAATTGCCAATCTCCACTGAAAAAAAAAACAAAAAACAAAAATAAATACATAAATAAATATTTATGAAACGAAGTATCTTGATCATATAAACGCATACCTGGATCCCCGATAATATATGCATCATTGAATATAATAGAAGTATCGCTTTTCTCGGTTTCATTTTTAGCCCAGGTTGATTTAACAGTGACAGTGATTCTTTGACTTTTATTCCTCAGCTCTTCAGTTATTAATTCGGTTGGGACAAGCATTTTATCATAAAAGTCATGAATTTTATACGTGCCATTCAGAATATGATATTTCAAAGCGTCAGTTCCCAAACTTGCAAAAATATGGTTATCATAGTAATCATCATGTGGGGCAAGAATTGTATAGGGAGTTTTTAAATCTTCGATATAATGATTTAAACGATATTTAATAAGCGCAGAAACAAACTTGGTGGCTCTCAACCCACAAAGGTATTTGTGCGCATTGAAAAAGAGTGCTTTAGGAATCGCGATGTTATCAATTATATGAATGACACCTAAATAATTATATAAAGATAAGTAAATTTATCTAAAATTGAATAAATCGTTCGAATTACATTATTCACCATTATATGCCAACAAATCTTTATAGGTAACCAAGCCATCTGCAACATGAATAGCATCATTATCATCACGTACAATCTCAAGAGGTTCACCTTGAACGGTCTCAACTGTTATTTAAAAAAAGATTTAACATTAAATTAATGCGATCTAAACGTGATAATCCGTAATCTCCGTACCATAATAGAATCGAACAAGTCATCTATTTTTTCCATTTCGTTTTAACTTGGTGATATTTACTTTCCAAAAAAAAGAAGATATATACCTGGAAGTAATTCATGACTAAAATTTGTCGTATATAAGACATTTTCAAAATGTAAATGATGTTTAACAAAAAGATCCAGATCTCGAAAGCCGCCACCACAATTACCAGTAAGATATTCTCTCTCATAATGCTTAAGCCGTTTAGTAATGGAATCATCAGTTGGAGCGAATACAGTAATATGATTTCCAATTTTGACATGTTTATCAAGATCCATAAGACGAAGATAGGAAGTAAATATCTCTAGTTGGTCAATTGAATCTAATGTCGTTACTGTGATAATACAAAGTAAAATTTGTTATTTGGAATAAAGATATCTAAACCATTTAGATTAATGAAATATATCATACACGCATCCATAGGAGTTACCAAAACGTCGTCAATGACGTGAATTATACCTTAAATCAATAGATAGGAAAATAAGAGACCAATATAACATAAAAGAAAGTTATAACAAATTAATACAGAATGTTCGAATGGAACACTTTACCGTTGTCGGCTTGAAGATCAGTCTCGATAATTTTCCCATTCCCAATGTATTTTACTTCCTTTCCCAACTTTTCGGTAACTTTCTCAATTTTAACTTTCTGGCCAATCCTGCCCTCGCCGAGCTTTTCAGGTATTTCATAGCGTGTTGACAAGAGTTGCCCGTCTTTTAACTCTTCACCCTTAACCTCTTCCCACAATATATGGTAAAGTATACGATCTTTGGTGACAAAAGAGCCATCGAATGCTTCGTTTATAGGGGCGAAAAAAGTAGCAGTTTCTAAATGATTAAGAAGTGGTATAAGTCTAGTACGTTGTAAAGACTCGATAAGATTAGAGAATCGTGGGTCATTTGATAAAACGTCGACAATAGTCTTCCTAGACTCAGCAAAAGGACGGCTTGCAGGAGAAAGTAGGATAAATAAAAGGAGTAATAAAATTAAACGACCGATTAGTGTCATTTGTAGTAATTATGACAAATAGACTTTATGAAGCATTCTGTTTCATAGAATACATTTAATATTTATTGCTGTACTATTGCTTCTGCGGCTCTCACGCATTGAGGCATAAACAAATCATATTGATATTACCGGTACAAAAAAAAGTCCGGTCATCTATGTCATCCCATGACTCTTTTTCTATTTCCATTTCAATTTAAAACCTGATTTTTAAGGAAAATCGACCAAATCGCGCAAATCGGTAAAACAATATGCCTTTGAATAATTATATGATTGGCTTTTTTCGATTGATTTATCAAATAAAGTATTTGTAATTAAATTTGTTTTTCACAATAACAACGAAGAAAAAAAAACTAAAGCGGCAAAACGGCATAACTCTAAATTTTTTTTTTTTCTTTTTTTATTAATAATATAGGAAAATAGTATTTGGAATCGAATGATTTTTATGCCATTTGGCTTGAAAGAGGTATAGGGCATAAAAATCTCTGGATCACGGGATATTCGATTCACGATCTTAATTGTATTCGGTCTAGAAGGTATAGGTGAAACCATTAGCGTTAAAGTCCGAAGTAATACTCTACGGTCCGTGATACAGATATGTGTGGTACAGTATGGACCCTACTTCTTTGAAACAGGTTGCTTAGTACAACCAATTAAAATTCATATAACCTATTCTAATATAGCTATGTGAATAGCCTTTAGAACAATTATACGTACAGTTAAATAGTTCTAATTCTAGAAATATATTAAAACTTTTACGTATACAAAAATTTGATACCAGATACTGTAAACTTACGTATAGTATATGCAGTTGACCTAAATTTATCGATTTATCGACTGTATAAGCGCGAAATAACGCCCAGGGGTGTAATTTTGAATTTCGGCCTAAATTAAACTTAATTCGGGACATTATTCAAATAACGTTATTTCGCGCTTATACTGTAAGCCGAAATTTAAAAATTGGCTTAGCCAACTATGCGAAGTCGATTGGCTTTAGTATGTAAAATAATCTATACCGATCCATTATTATAAAGTTTGATTGTCTATTCCTAAATTTCTTATGTACATGTTAATAAAAAATCGACTGACTTAGTCGGCTAAGTCGATTTATCGACTAATGCCAAATCGACTAAATCACTACTCACGTACATACAGTAATTATTTAACTTTTATCCTGGCGCAGGTGGGTAATTTGGCGCACTTGGATTTTTCATCTATATCTCGTTAAACACTCAAAATCAAATTATATTAGTACCATTTGACTCGTCTCATTGAGATGAAATTATATAAAAAATTGCATGGTTCTAATTACTGAACTACAAAATAAATGAAGGTCAAATATTATGGTTCACATATTATTCACGTGTTCAATTTTTCTTTTAATTTTAGTACTTCATTCGGACAATATCTGAAGGGTAATACAATACGAAATATATAATGCGCCATAATACCCCAACCTAAAAAAGATAGCAGTTTTTAATAGATTTAAAGTGTCATAATACCCGACTCTTCCCTATATGCGACAAAAATCATTGGAATTCGTGTCAAATCGACATATCTGATATTGCTATCACCAATAAAAATTAATGATCAGGTGTAACATGATAATCAAACAATCTAAATTATTGCTTAGTTTGCGTCTTCTCTTTTACATCTCCCACCTGTACTGAGAATTTCGGCAAGACCTTATAATTTTATCATAAATCCTTGACGTGTTCACCAAATCAAGACCTACATGCATTCTGCACAGGTTGGATCAATGAATATCGGCACTCGTGCAGAGGCACTTGGAGGCACTTATGCGAAGGCACTTGGAGACACTCGTATGCTACCTTAGGCGCAGTATTACTGTGCCATATTTACCCTAAGTGCCGCACAAAAAATGCGCGGCAGATCCTCGATTTTGATTGGCTAACGGCCGAAGATCTTCGAAATTTTGGTCCGC